CTGGCATGCACTTGCTTGCTCCCTCAGTCTGTGGGCTGCTGCTGCTGTCTGCAGAATTTCTCTGGTTTGCACCAAGTTGGTTTGGGCACTGATTGGTTGCACCTTGGCACAGGTTGTGGGGGGGGGGGCAGATTGCTCTGGTTCTGCTGCTGGGCCTGTCTGGCTGGCATTGGCAATGGACAGACATGCTACCTCAGTGCTGCTGCTGTAGAGAGATTCTTTGGTTTGAGCCAAGTTGTGTTGGTTTTGGGGTTTTGGGCACCCAGTTTGGCGGCACAGGTTGTGGGGGGGCACTTGTATGGTTCTTCTCTGCTGCAGTGTGGCTGGGGCTGGCTGGTCTGGCAAAAGTTTGCAAACATGCTGTCCAAAACAGTTTGCCCCCATCCCTCCATTGATCTCTATGGTGGGGAAAAACGTAATTTTTTTCCCACCATAGAGAACAATGGGGTGGGGGCAACCTGTTTGGGGGCCCATAGAATTGGACCCCCTGGTCCAATCTTCATGAAACTTGGTGGGTATGTAGGGGAGAGGTTCTAGTAACCACCCTCCAAGTTTGGAGCTTACCCACTCCAAGGTCCATAGGATACAATGTTGCCGAATTGCCGCCGAATTTCGGCGGCAAACCGCGAATAAACTGCAGCAAGCTGATCTGGGGGCAACCTGTTTGGGGGCCCATAAAATTGTACCCCCTGGTCCAATCGTCTTGAAACTTGGTGGGTATGTTGGGGAGAGGTTCCAGTAAGCACGCTCCAAGTTTGGAGCCTCTACCCCAAACCCCCTCCCCCCCAGCCTCCCACAAAGTTTCAAGAGGATTTTTGCCATTGACTTCAATGGCCCCATTGGTTATAATGGACCCGAATTTTTCGGGTTTCCCGAAAAATTTCAGATATCTATGCTTTACCGATATAGATATTCGGGTTTTTCCGGGTTTCCCGAAAAAAATCGGGTCCAGTAAACCCGAATCCGAATTTTTCCGAATTTTTTTTTTTGCACACCCCTACTGCCTATTAGATATAGGCTTGGCCCACATTCCCTTCATCAGTTTTTCAAAGAAATCGGGAAAGGAAGCAGACCTCTCTGAGGAGGATGCCCTGGGAAAGATGCCCTTGTTCCCCTGGGGCCTGGATTTACTCCCTGTGGGTTTCTCCCAGAGCCAGGGATTTCTGTGGCATCTGAAGTCAGGACCGCCGTGGGTAGGAGGGACTGGCAATCATCCGCACTCAACAGGCGTGTGGGCTCCTCCTCTGAGAAGAAGGCTCCCTCCCTCTTGGGCTCTGACTGGGAGGACAGGCTTTCGATCCCGAGCCCTCGCTGAGGTGGCAGTGAAGGAAGAGGCTTTGTGGATCACTTTAGTGGGCCACTGGAAGCCAGGGTCCCAATGGGATGAAGCATGCCCCTCCCTATGCCTGGTCCCTTCCCTCGGGGCAGGTGAGGGTGACCTCTGGTGGGAGTGCTTGGCACCCCCCAAGGTGGGGGTGGGTGGGGGAGGCATTTTCACACCTTTTTCATGGCATGTTTTCAGGTGCTTTTGTTTTTGAGCCACAGCGGTGTTCCAAGTTCTCTCCGGGCTAGAGTTGTCAGGGAAGCTCTCTCCTCGAGGAACAGATGGAAGAAGGAGAAACTTGTCTCTCCCATGTAGCTCAGAAGTCTCTGAGGCTTCCTGAGCAGCCATTCATTTGGGGGGGGGGGAGCAAGAAGCCCTGGAGACAGAAGAAGAGCTAAGCAGAGGTGTGAAGAAGGAAAATGAACAGGCTGGGAGATGACAGAAGTCTTTCTCTCAAAGTTTGAGGTCGCTTGAGAATGGCAAGGAGCCCACTCAAGAAGCTGAACTCCCTGTCGAGGCAGGAAACAAAAGTGAAACTGGGTGAGTCCCACCCCAAAGACAGGAAGTTGAAGAAACTGTTCCTGCTACCTGAGCAACTGGTGGGATTCACCCATTCCAAGATGCCTAGTGAGAACCCTGGGTTTCTGGGTGCAGGGAATTTTTGTATGGAGTAGCAGAGATGGAAGCTCCCACTGGCCACTCAGACAGCAAACTCTTGATATTGTTGGTTTTATGCAAACTACACTTCAGCTCATCCTACCCTGCACACACACACCTCCAGGGGCGGGGAGGCTTTACATCAGGACCAGTTGGATGGTTGGGACCAGTTTATCTTTTTCAGTCTTGGATTGCTGGCTAAATCTTGTCGATGGCTTACCATGCATGGTTCTGATACACTCGAATCCCTGGAAATCCCATAGCTTAATGGTCATATCTGCAGAGCAGGAAGCCAATAGCTTGCCACTGTGGTCGAAAGAAATATCTTGCACAGAGTCTGTGTGGCCTTTCAGGGTTCGTTCGAAATCACCCGTCTCGTAATCCCATACCTAAGTAGAGTGGACAAGGGGAATATGTTAGTATCAGCCTAACCTCCCTTTTCTTCCAAGCCCCTCCCATTTTGCACATGGCAAGGCAGTCTGGCACCTGACTTAATATCAATTGAACAGAAGACTGTATTCCATAGTGGAAAAGAAGCAGGGAGAGAGGCATAGTTCAGAAAACTTAACAATTTTCAAATTAATTACGCTTAGGAAGTACACACCCCAACCACTGTTTGCAACTGATGAAGAAGAAGAAGAGATTGGATTTATACCCCGCCCTTCACTTGGAGTCTCAGAGCGGCTTACAAACTCCTTTCCCTTCCCCTCCCCACAACAGACACCCTGTGAGGTGGGTGGGGCTGAGAGAGCTCTGACACAAACTGCTCTTTTTCAAGGACAGCTGTGCCAGAGCTTGTGATTGACCCAAGGTCACATCAGCAGGTGCAAGTGGAGGAGTGAGGAATCAAACCCGGTTCTCCCAGATTAGAGTCCGCACACTTAACCACTACACCAAACCACCAACCCACAAGAATGACTGCCATGGTTATCGTTGCTTTAACACAAATGAGTCCCTTCCTGTGAGACTCTTCAGGGATATAACTTTTGCTTGCTGACACGGGGAAGATTCCAGCCTTCTCCAAAAAATCCCAGACAGAATCAATCCTAAAGATGCCCAACAGATATTAGAAAGTGCAATATTCAAGCGTGGCATGGCTAGGATTGAACAAGAAGTCTTCAAAGTTGTACAGCGCCTGCAAGAAACTTCCAAGCATCTGCTCTGGGTATGACTGTACAGATTCACTATAGGAATTAAGAGGCAGCCAGTCACCTAGCACTTTTGGCAGTCCCAGTCATGATTTAGAACAGAATCCCAGATTTAGAACAGAACTGGGCTGTGGGGAAGGGCTGTGGCTGAGTGGAAGAGCACACTGCTGGGAAAGATTCTTCTCCCCCAGAGACCTTGGGCAGCTGCTTCCAGCCACAGTAAACAATCCCATGCTGGACAGATTGATGGGTCTGGCTCGGCACAAAGGCAGCTAGACTCCAACAAGCTCCCCCATGAGGGTTCCACAGGCTGGAAGCCGTGGCTGCGGCCATGCAGAGCCTCACCCTATGTTCTCCTTCCAGCTTCGCACAGATCAAGAGCCATCGGGGAGGGGACAACATGGGAGGAAGCATATCTGAAGGGGGCCTTGATTCATGGTTACAGTAGCACACAGTCACCATTAACCTTGTAGTGTGCCCAGCAATGCACCAACAAAATGCAGACTTCAAGACAATGGGGCAACCAACTCCCCTTTGGAAACCAAGTCCCATTATGATGAGCAAGCAGAAACTGTCAAGCTTGAGTATTTATACAGCAGCCTGTGAATGAGCGGGATCGTTTCCAGAGTACAAAACAAGTTCCTTTCCCCAAAAAGTTTACAACTGAAAACTTGGCAGGGAGGGCAAAACAAAGGGCAGAGGGGAGAACAAGAACAGGGCCAAACAGGTGTTCATCCAGGGGGGCCAGGAGTCGTGCCACAGGCTCAGCGGAAAAGATGGGCTTTGAGAGGGAGACAAAGTAGGGAGAGGCATTCTTGGGAGGCAGCATGGGAGCAAGGGTGGAGCTGCCTGAGGGACACAGAAAACCCCTTACAGATGCTAATTTGATCACAATACCCAGAAAAGTGTATGCTGAGAGCCATGCATAGCTCCTGACCAGCCTACTCACTCTTGACTTGGAGGCCGCAGCTGTTGGCTTCTTCCTTTCAGCCCCACTTCCTGCTGCAAACTGAGCCTGTTAACCAAGCGCTGCAACACCAAGGAGATGTAGCCCTCTCTATATCCAAGAGCTTACCTTTATTGTCGCATCCTCTGAAGCAGAGACCATGACACTGAAAACTGGGTGGAAAATCACTCTTGTGACAGGACTCCTATGACCACTCAATGCATACTTTTCTGGAGGACGAGGGATCCATTCTTTAGGGTCTCGTTTCTGGCCAAGCGGCCCACCTGATGTGAATTCTTCCTTAGCTTCATTTAGTTTGGATTCTAATTCCATAACCTAAAAGGGTTGCAGGACAGAGGAGGAGAAGACAAGAGAGCAGATGAGTAAGGTGTAGAGTAACAACCACAAAATCTTGGAGAGTTAAATTACTTTTAGCCATTACCAAACCTATATACTCTCAGGGAGCAGTCCTAACCTAAGCAGACCCACTCAGAAGTAGGTCCAGTTGTACTCAATGGGACCTACTACTCCCAGGAAAGGATTGCAGCCTTAATAACCGTAGGACTCTCCAATTACTACAAGCCCAGTTTAAACTGAGCTCCTTCTAAAGAACGTCACAGGTAGAATTCAGCACAAAAGGGTCAAATTAGAATTCATTCACAAATTCAAGACAATGTACCCCAGTCACAAGTTTAACAGGGACCTTGGATTCCTAACTCACTATAGATGCTAATAACTCACATATCTCACCCCTTACAGATGTTAGTTTTTCCACTAACTCATTTCATCCTGGTAGATCAAGATGTAGCAGCAGAAAAGAGTAAGAGTCCAGCAGCACCTTAGAGACTAACATTTGTGGTAGGGAATGAGCTTTCATGAGTCACTGCTCCTTTCTTCTGTTACCTGCACTAATTCGGTATTTCTTCTACTCTATTGTAGGCTGGGAGTTTCTCACACCTTCTCCAGGTAAACGTTTGATTGGATCTTGTTTTATACTAGCCTCTCTTTGTACCATTCCTCTCCTCCTCCTCCCCCCCCTTCTGATGGGTATTTAGCCATGCATAATGGACATCCACTTCTGTGCATCCAAGGAAAAGCATACTGAAATGAATTTTTGTTAAGGTGTAATGGTCTCCTGTGTAATTTAGCCAAAGATCTGGTTATTTTGAAACAATTCCACTCTATGCCCCTTTTTACCTCTCAGAGAGCTTACACTCTAAGATTTGCCAAGAAGACCCTGCTGCCAGGTGGGTGTAAGACTAGTTAGCATCCATCCACCAGATACAGAACTTTTCCTGTACTTCTCCCAGTGCTATAGAATCATCTTCTTCTGGAGGCCTGACTTATTCCTTTCCTCACCTCTTTTCAAAGGCAAGGGAAGACACATTCTGTGGCGCACTGCTTATTTGGGGGGACTGGTTCCACTTTAAAATTATACTCTGTGTTTATAAACTGGGTAGTTTCTGCTGCCACCAGGAATTTTAAGAAATTCCAAAAGTTCTCTCTGTTTCTGCTATTGTTGCTGCTGGTGGTAATGTGTCCTAGGGTCTGGGCTTTCAGAGGTCTATGTGGCCCTGAGGAAGGATTGAACTGTATTCTGGGTTAAACTCAAACAAAATATAATTTATTGGTTAAAGACAAAAAATAAGTTGCTAGTTAACTTTAACTGTTTTGGGGAAGAGAAACTGGTAAAATAAACGTGCAAGGTATCATACACAGTCTTTTGATCATAAGATCCCTCTCTAACAGGAATCACTCTTTCACTGGGTAGCCACACTGGCAAAGCTCTTTGTATTAATTCTCTTTAATAACTTTGGAGTCTCACAGACCCTTCTCATATCTCTTCCACACTTAAACTTGTACAGACATATATATTGAATTCTTTAAAAATCCACACAGAACTGAGTCATCTCTCTCTCTCAGACTCACTAACTGAATAACTCCAACTGATTTCTCTAACTGACTTCTCTACTCAGATTCACTCAAACTCTTCAAGACACACACTTTCACTTCAAACACCTCCTCCCACTCTCAGTCGTCCTCCAATCACAACACACTTGTCTCTCTCAATCACTCTATTCTGCTAATACTGCACTACAACCAAACATTTAAAGGAACACACACACAGTAAAACAAGGAATCATTACACATTCTATTCTACTTGGGCAACTAGCACTGGGAACAAAAGGAATGTATGATATTTTTAGATGCTATAACTGCAGCTTAGATTTCTATTGTCTTATCAGTTTATTTTTCATCTGTGAATTGTTCTGTCAATGACTGAAAGATGGTTTACAATTACTGCATATAAATATAACCCACTTTCCCCCACTGCATTCTTTCTGCCCCTCCCCAGTCCAGCCGTTATAACCTCTCCCGCCCTCAGCCCTGTTGATGTTTCCTCCAAACTCTAGATCTGTACGATTCTGTTCTCCAATTAACTGCAGATGTGTCCAAATGCATCTAGAAGAGAATGCTGAAAGAAAGCTCAGATGCTATTTTAATTGAACTACAGTGTTGCATAAGAAGATGGGGTAAGCAAAAAAACCAAGCAAAATATATATACTGCCCTACCGGACACATCTAATCAAACTGACAGGAAATACAAAACCTGAGTATCTCTCCTCTGCCATAACTATAGAAGCCTTTCAAAAACAGACGTTTATAGTAGGCACATTTTCTAAAAATGGTTGCTTTTGAAATCTGGTGCATTAGATCAGGAGCACATCAGCACAATTGGTGCCTCCTCTGAAAACAAACATGTTCAGAAAATACTGGACCAAGTCTAACCCCTGCAGTTCTCTTTTTCCACTACAGAAATACAGAAATGCAGCATTAAAAACTTAAAATTACGACACCTACGTACAAATATCTTTAAGACAATTTCTTAAAAAGTTCTCCCAAGATGATGTTCCATTTCTATTAACTACAAATACAACACTTTCATTGCCAGTATACTGTGGCTTCTGCTTACCTTCTTTTGTAATCTTATAACCGATGTCCATTTTTTTTCCAAGAGCCCAGCATACTTCTTATCTAACTCTTCATTCTAAAGGAATCAGAAACAGTGGTCACATTCAGCAGTTTTCAGTCAGGGTTTCCTCCCTTGCATTAGGAAAGACCTCAGAGGCTCTCTTCATCAGAACACAGTTTTCCTGCTCTCTAAAAATTACAGAGATTAAACCGCATGGCTTATCAAACCATTGTGACACTGTCAAATACTTAACATGCAGGAACGCAAACTTGCAAATTAAAACCAGAGGAATTAATTATTTAAAAATTATATGAAGTTCTCTTTTGCTAGTGCTTTTGTGCTCTTTAGATACTCTAATACTTGCAAATAGGATTAATGTAAAGAAATTAACATCCATTGTCAGAGCTGGAATGTGACTGTTTAAGAAGTACAATACACAATATTTATCACCAAGTTGTCATGGAATTAGAGCTGAAATTTTGCAGCAGTATTTGAACAGGCCATTGGAAAGCGAATTCTGATTTAACATATTGATTTCTGTGGGTGTGTTGGAGATGAGTTGCCTTAATTCACCTGTGGGTTTGGTTACTTTTTTTTTAATATAAAAAAACCAGTTAAAAATAAGAAAGCAAATCCTGGTGTTTATGCAGGGCAAACAGGGAGGTGTCGATTTTATGTGCTGCTGATGCTTCTAAGAGGGGCATCCATTTTTCTTGAAGATTGTCAGGAACGGGTTGATTTTCAGATCGTAGGATGCTAGTGGAAACTTTGTCCTGTAAAAAGAAGTCCCACAATTTCAGATACCAGTCGCTCAATAGCAGCGTCTTCTTAGATTTCCAATGAAATGCAATAACATTCCTAGCAGCCGCAAAACACAATTCTATCAACTCTTTCACAAGCCCATTGGGGGCAGGATGGCTCCAATGATTCAAAAGGAACAAGGAGGGTTGTAGTTGGAGGGCGCAACCTGTAATGAAAAGTATTTGGGCATTGACTTCTCTCCAGAAGGCCTGGACCTTGGGACACTCCCACCAGCAATGAATATAGGTGCCACAGCCCCAACAATTTTTCCAACATCTGTCCGAGATTGCGGGGTTAATGCCATGCAGCTGATGCGGGGTCAGGTACCATCGAAATAAAAGTTTATAAGTTAACATTTGAATATTGGTGGAACGGGAGCGGCAAAGAGGAGAGGACCAGATTGCAGTCCAATGTTCTGAGGTAAGCGCCTGACCAATATCTCTATGCCATTTTGTTTGATATCCAGTCTGGTCTTCTTTATGTTGAGAATTGAGAAGACAGTACACTTTCGACACCAATCCCCTGTTAGGTAAGAACTGAGCTGCCATAAGATCTTCAAACGGGCGCAAAATCATATCCGGCGGAGGGGTATGTGAGTGTTTAACTTGTTCATATTCAAACCACTAAGTGTTTAACTTGTTCATATTCAAACCAGGATACCTGTCCCTGTAACTTATGTTCTATTTCTTGTTGAGTATGTAGGCAGCCCCCAGCCATGATGTCACAAAATCTGGTAAGGCCCTGCTTCCTCCAGCAGCGATAAGCCGAGGGATCTTCCCCTGGGCAAAACCAGCTCTGGCCCAAAAACGTCTGCATTGGTGAAGATGGAGAGACCAGATAAGTTCTAAGTCGGTCCCAGGCCCCAAGAGATGCCAGTAAAAGCTCACTGTATCCTGATCTTCTGGCGTGGGATGACGGGTGGGTTTGGTTACTGGCTATCTTTTACCCTGATGGTTTTCAATCAACTGAACTATTTCAGAACACTTCAGGGTTTGTTTTTTGTTATTTTTACTGAAAGTTGCATTGAAATCTCATATGCAAAACAGGAGGCACATTTTAAAAACAACATACATTTACTAATTAATCTATGCCCCAGTCCTCAGTACGGCTCCTGAGGAGACTTCTGAACTGTACAAACCATGGTGCCATCATTAGTAAAATAATAAATGAGTCAGAGGCCAGTAATAGCCAGAATTTTAGAGGATTTTTTAGAAGAAACCTGAACTGTAGAACTCTGAATGGTAGGGATGGGCATGAACCATGAAAATGCAGTTTGGTTTCTGGAAAGCCACGAGCTGAACCACCCATTCACGAACTGCTAATTTGTTTGGTTCGTGGCCCCATAAATCCCATTAAAAGGGACTGCAGTCCCTTTGAACTTTAAGAGAATTGCAGAAGACAGCCTGAAATAGCTGATTGGTGGAGAGTGCCTCCCTGTCACTCAGCTGTTTTTGAGGCTTGAGGGGAACAGAAAGCAGGGTTTTAAAGGGACTCAAGCCCCTTTAAACCCTGGCTTTCTGCCCCATGCACGAACCACAAACAGCACTAACCTGCTCTGAAAGTTCATGATGGCATGAACTTCTGTTCGAGAACCAAGAACAGGGCAAAAATTGTCATGAATTTTGCTTCATGGTTCAGTTCATGCCCATCCCTAGTGAAGGGTAAGGGCCCATCCACTGGCAATACACCACAAACCCAGAGAGCAAAATGTTTTCATTTGGTGCTAACATTCAACAGTCTTGGCCCCATGTAAAACTGCTGAAAGGAAGGAACCCCACAATCAAGGCACCATAACTCAAAAAGGTTCATCTACCTTATGCCTGAAGGTGAAGACAAATAGGAGAGGGTATACAAACATACAGGCCTCAAAATACCGAGATTTCCTCAGTCCTTGCCCTCTCTAGCCACTCTGTGGTACCCATCTGAACGGAGACACAGCCAAGAATCACTTACCAACTGAGAAGCTCAGTAACATGTGTAGAAGTGTGGAATAAAAGGCATCTACTCTACCAGTCTATGGGTAGACCTAGTTTCCATTCTTGCCCTACATCAAATTTCAGAACAATCCAGGGAGGGAAAGAAAGATGCAGTGACTGACATTTTGGGTTCTGGAGACTCAGAGAGGTGAGTGCTATAGAAGATACAGAAAGGCAGGCGAGCTGTAGATCAGAATCTATAATTGGATTACCTTCTTGGGTGAGAAGGCACGATGGAAACATTTCCATCTTCTGTGCTTGGGGGAATTTGGGGTTATTTGCAGAACTAATTTGTGCTGGAGCCAAGTGTACCCCCTGAAGCTGTTGCCTGGCTAGTCTCCAACCCACTGATGCTCAGTTTTTAGGTCTTTTAATTTATTAAGAGTCGTGATTAATTTATTCTCCCCAGTTTCCCTGTGCGATTCTCTCGTAAGGAAGTTAACCATCCTCCCTTATTGCTGCTTAGCATATTCAGGTCCTTTCTACCTTTTGGGGAAGAGGATTCTTTTAATGAGGTTGATGGATGGGGCCAGCCCTCTTTTTATCAAGCCCCATTTTCAATTACATGAACAATGAGATTACAGGTAGACTTTATTTGAATGGGATACAGGAAAATCAAATTAGAGCCTCAAGTGGGTATTTTGGTAAGATGGACAAACTTCAACACTTTCTTGGTTGCATTTCTAGGCACTTAGAGGTCAGCATAACATTTCAATTTCTCACAGCTATAGTCACTCATGTGTTCTGTACCAAAGTTACTTCCAGATCACACCATGATAGTTACTGCTTTCCAGAAGCTACACTAAGAGACAGAAGGAGAGAATTATCAATACTGCAAGGACTGGACAAGCATACTGGTGTGCATATTTCCTAGAATATTACTATTATTCAGTGAATGTTTCCTAGAATATCACTTCTCTGGTTTAAGAGCCTGCCCTTAAGCATTTAGGTAGTACAGGACAGCGTGCTATGCTGCTGCACAGAACTGACGCTGCAGTTCTGCAGGGGGTGGCTCACAATTCAAGTAAGGTCAACAGTTTAAAAGTGAAATTTTGAGACAGCAGGAAAGATACAAGGAGGATGAAAACTACACAATGGTCCACTGGAGGCTCTGGGTTGGATCCAGACTACATTTTCCACTAACGGAAGGGAACAGACCATTGGATATTTACCGTGAAAGGAGGACATCTTGATAATTTATTTTTATTTATTTATTTTTCGTACTTATACCCCGCCCTCCCCAGTGGGCTCAGGGCGGCTTACAGAGGCAAGAACAACTTGCCATGGTAAAACAATATATACATAACAATTTAAAACATATGCTACATATTAAAATCTAATAACAAAGTGCTCAGTGCCATTCATAATCTGAAGATGGCGGATCGAGTGTCCAAAGTCCCAAGAAGACGGCAGAAGGATTCTTCCATAGTAGGTGTTTAATCGGGACCTCAGGGCGGTGGTGGTATAGTAGGGGCGGTGGCTCCTACTCGAAAGCCTGGCGGAAGAGCTCCGTCTTGCAGGCCCTGCGGAACAGCATAAGATCCCGCAGGGCCCTGATCTCCTCCGGGAGCTCATTCCACCAGGTAGGAGCCGCCACCGGAAAAGCCCTGGTCCTCGTGGCGGCTAGTTTGACATCCTTAGGGCCCGGGATGACTAATAAATTTTGGGCCCCTGACCGTAGTGCTCTTGGGGGAACATACAGGGAAAGGCGGTCCTTCAGGTAGGTTGGACCCTGGCCATGTAGGGCTTTATAGGTATGTTATAGGTATAGAAATGTGATTCCCACCATCCAATCAAGGGATGCAGGAACTACTCATTTTAAGCTTCCTATATTCAGCCTCGTGGGAGTCACCCTCTTCAGTCTGGTGACCTCATCAGCAGTTTAGACTAAGCTCTTGCCTCTACAGTAGGAGGGGGGGAAACAGAAAAACAGCAGATACATACACAAGGTGAGCGAACAAAGGTTGAGACGAAGAAAAACCTGCTTTACTGTCTTCCTGGTGATGCCTTCGGGAGGGATGCCTCAGAGAAGGACCTTCACGGTAAGGATCAAATGGTCTGGTCTCCCTCTGAGGCGGAGGACATCTTGATAAGGACCTCCTAGAGCAGTGTGCTTAATTACTGGGCAGGTTACAGTCATCATCGCTTATGATGTTCTGCAGCACCCTTCTACCACAGGTGGCATCGGCTGAACTGTATGTGTTGATTTTGTAGTGTCTGATGAAGGGGGATAGCAAAGACCAGGTTGCTGCTTTACTGACCCTCTTCAATGGCAGCATGCTTAATGGAGGCCACGTT